TTAAAGTGCTTCCATAAAAGACCAGAGTTGTGGTGAAACAAATATAGAAAACAACAAGAAATTGACATGCTCTTAAATTTAATCAATATTACAAAACTTGGATTTAAAACTTCTATAAGCTTGATAACCATCATCCAAGTTCTGTCTTCGAGAAGCACATTGAGTCTCTAAGTGTTTCTTCTGCTCCAAGGTTTTTGCAAGTCTCGAAGAGATCACCTTGCCTTCCTCCTTGAGACTCTTTTGACGCTGAATGACCTCTTGAATTTGAGTTTTTAAAGCTTGTTTTTTCGAACGGAAGTTATTCAACTCATGCTGCAGAGCCTCAATAGACTTTTTGACATCTTCTTCCTGTTGCAATTTCTTCAAAGCAGGAATCATTTCTTCAGTTGATTTCCTGATGGAGAGCAACTCTTGTCGAAGATTCTCGAGCTTGGCACGGTCTCCCTCGCTCTCGACTTCAATTTGGGCCACTTCTTGAAATGCAATAGACCATTTAGATCGAAGATCCCAAGCAAGGGTGAATGGCTTGATAAATTCTTGAAGCTCGAGGTGAATCTCAAGAGGAAGGTCTGAGTAAGCCAGCAAATCATCCACCATCTGCTCGACTTCGATTTTAAATTCTGGAATGAGGAATGCTTGATCGAGGTCATCTACATAGGCCTTCGACCTGAAAGATTCGAGTAGAGGCTGAAAAGTAGGAGTTGACTTAGAAACTAGTTCAGGAGCCTTCTCCGAGATACAAGGACCACTTGTCCAATTGTCAAGAACGTCAAAAATATTGTTGACTTCTTCATCTTCTTCATTGAAAAAACTAATTAAGTCCAAATCAGTTGAAGGGATCGAAGAAAGTGCTAGTACTGAAGATTCGACACCACCTTGGGTCGAAGGAGAAGGAGTAAAGGGCTTGGGAGAATCAGTGGAATCTGCATAGATAGAAAAGAGTAAGAAAAAGTTCCTTTCAACAATTGGTAGTGATTAATAAAAGAAGAAACATACCACAATCTGGGCCAATTGGAGGTTTAAGCTCGAAAGTTATACATTAGTTATTGAATATTATGTAAAACCATTTTATTATAATTAAAACTTTAATATTATATTACATTAAAATATATCTAATATATAAAATATTTTATATATTCCGTGAACCGGCAAAATATCATGCTTAAATTTGCTAAATGGAAACGCTATGATGTATATAGGAAATTGTTTTTTTTAATTAAACATATACATTATATATATTTAATCACCATTAATTTCATCATATTGAATTGTGGTTATTAAATAGTTAAATTGTGAATCAATATCATTAAATTATATGGTTGGTTCTCAAGTCTCAACTCAAACTTTGGATTTGATAAAAAAAAATGATACTAGAAAGAATAGTTTTACTATTCAAGATCTCAAGGAAGACTAATTTTTGACAAAATCAATAAATATTTCTATTAACATCATAGTATCAAAACAAATAAAATAAAAAATAATTAAATTACGAATCAATATCATTATCAATTCCATTACTAATCTCATGTTAAAAACATTATTTAGGATTGGTTGTTTCAATTTTCAAATCAGTAGCATTTCCTCATGTTAAATTTTTTTTTTGTCCTTTTATCCCTAACTCTTACATAGGATGTATATCCTATCGGGATTTTAGCCTGTTTTTTTTGTTCTTACCCTAATTTTTTTCCTAGAACACCTTTGCGAGTTTTCATCCTAGCAAGCTTTTAGCAATGCCTCCAATTATAATGCCTCTTCCCCATCTTGGACTTATCTTTAGAAAGATCTATTCACTCCACCTTATGCATTTGAGAAGTTCATCCTCCTCCTCAAGTTCTTTTCCTTTCTTCTTTAGACTTCTCCTTCTCTTTGGAGATTTTATCTTGTATCTTACTAGGAGTGTGGATCCATCTGCTCCTAGTTATTCCTTTTATCCTAGTGATGTCAAATAGGTCTTTGTTTGATGACACCTTGATTCCGTAGACCCGTGACACGGCTTTATCCTTGTCATATGGGGAAAGGCTTGATGTCTTGATAGTTAACTAGAAAATTTCTATTTGGCTTAAGAAATTTTATCCCAACATAAAGATCTTTATCATACCATGTTCAATTTTATTAGAGTAACCCAAACCATCAAATATGCTTATTAACAAAATATTCCTTTTAAGTTTAAGGACATACCTCACATCTTGCAATAGAATCTCATAGTTATCAAACATTCTTAAGTGAACAATACCCATACTTTTTACCTTGCAAGTTTTGTTGTTGTCAAGAAGCACTACCCCACTTTCTTTGAGCTCTAAAGTCTCAAAGAAGTCTTTCACAAGACATATGTGATAGGTACATCCAGAATTCATAACCTAATTCCTTTGTATTTCTGATGTTGAAGCCACCAACACCCTTGCACTCTTATAACCATTTGAAACAACAATATCCAAAGAATCCATAGAGCTTTTGGATTCCTTGCCTTTCTCATGACAATCTCTCTTGTAGTGACAACTCCTATGACATATATAACATATTGGCTTAAACTTGGTGGTGCCCTTCCATTTTAATGTAGATTTTTTCTCCTTTAGTCCATTTTTCTCACTCTTCGTCTTTGAGATGTTCAAGCTTTCACCATTATCCCTTATCTTCAACTCTTAATTATTTTAAAGTTCTTTAGTTCAAATTGAGGTTTAAACCTCATCTAAGGCAATAGCTTGATCTAAAGACTTATTAATATTTATATAAAATAACTTTTATCGATCAAACATTATTTTTACATTAATAAAAATCTATTATGTGAGCAAGATCAAATTCTTGTGTCTCAAACATGTCTTCCAACCCTTGAGTCGAAAAACATAATTATTAATATTTTAATTTAATCAATTAAATTAAAATTTTAATCAATTAAATTAAAATTTTAATCAATTAAACTAAAAAGTACAATTATTTGTAAAAAAAACTGACGCACAATCGGTTACTTTCATATTTTATTTGAACAATCAAAATTTTTACTTAAATAATATTTTTTTTTAAAAAAATACAAAAGTATCAACTGTGCAGGTTTATTTACCAATATAGAACTGTTTACTGTTCATGCTCAGAATTCGGTTCCCCGGGAACCGAATTCTGAGTTATTTAATTTTTTTTTTCGTGTTTCTTGCCCATTTTGGGCAAATGTTGGAAGTGGAACGGCCTGTTCCGGAAGCAGAACGGGCCGTTATGCTTAAAGATACAGAGTCCTTTTTTTTAAATTAAAACGGGCCCTGAACGGCCTGTTCTAGAATAAAAAATTTTAACATTTTTTTGAATCTGAAACGGCCCGTTCTGGAAGATGTTTTCAGGAAGTAGAACGTGGTTTGGAACGGGCCGTTCTGGTTTTGGAACGGGCCGTTCTGGGCAAACAGTAAAAAAAAGATTAAATTATTATTTTTTTTAAAAGAAGATAATAAAGTTAAAATAATGGGATATTAAGCAATAAATAGGGAATATATTCTCTCCAACAATATAATTATTGGATAAAATTTTAACTATTCAATCAATTTTATTAAAATAATATATTTAGACAATCACTTAAGATAATATCTTGCGTTTAAAACGTACAATTATCCCTGAATTATAGGGAATATATTCTCTCCGACAATATAATTATCAGATAAAATTTTAACTATTCAATCAATTTTATTAAAATAATATATTTAGACAATCACTTAAGATAATATCTTGCGTTTAAAACGTACAATTATCCCTGAACTATAGGGAATATATTCTCTCCGACAATATAATTATCAGATAAAATTTTAACTATTCAATCAATTTTATTAAAATAATATATTTAGACAATCACTTAAGATAATATCTTGCGCTTAAAACGTACAATTATCCCT